TGGCATCACAATTCCGGACTTCAAGCTCTACTACAAAGCTGTCATCATCAAGACAGCATGGTACTGGCACAAAAACAGACACATAGATCAATGGAACAGAATAGAGAGCCCAGAAATAGACCCTCAACTCTCTGGTCAACTAATCTTCGACAAAGCAGGAAAGAATGTCCAATGGAAAAAAGACAGCCTCTTCAATAAATGGTGTTGGGAAAATTGGACAGCCACATGCAGAAAAATGAAATTGGATCATTTCCTTACACCACACACGAAAATAGACTCAAAATGGATGAAGGACCTCAATGTGAGAAAGGAATCCATCAAAATCCTTGAGGAGAACACAGGCAGCAACCTCTTCGACCTCAGCCACAGCAACATCTTCCTAGGAACATGGCCAAAGGCAAGGGAAGCAAGGGCAAAAATGAACTATTGGGATTTTATCAAGATCAAAAGCTTTTGCACAGCAAAGGAAACAGATAACAAAACCAAAAGACAACTGACAGAATGGGAGAAGATATTTGCAAACGACATATCAGATAAAGGGCTAGTGTCCAGAATCTATAGAACTTAGCAAACTCAACACCCAAAGAACAAATAATCCAATCAAGAAATGGGCAGAAGACATGAACAGACATTTCTGCAAAGAAGACATCCAGATGGCCAACAGACACATGAAAAAGTGCTCCACATCACTCGGCATCAGGGAAATACAAATCAAAACCACAATGACCTCACACCAGTCAGAATGGCTAAAAAAATAACAAGTCAGGAAATGACAGATGCTGGTGAGGATGCGGAGAAAGGGGCACCCTCCTACACTGTTGGTGGGAATGCAAGCTGGTGCAACCACTCTGGAAAACAGCATGGAGGTTCCTCAAAATGTTGAAAATAGAACTACCCTATGACCCATCAATTGCACTGCTGGGTATTTACCCTAAAGATACAAACGTAGTGATCCGAAGGGGCACATGCACCCAAATGTTTATAGCAGCAATGTCAATAGCCAAACTACGGAAAGAACCTAGATGTCCATCACAGACGAATGGATAAAGAAGATGTGGTATATATACACAATGGAATACTATGCAGCCATCAAAAGAAATGAAATCTTGCCATTTGCGATGACGTGGATGGAACTAGAGGGTATCATGCTTAGCGAAATAAGTCAATCGGAGAAAGACAACTATCATATGATCTCCCTGATATGAGGGAGAGGAGATGCAACATGGGGGTTAAGGGGGTAGGAGAAAAGTAAATGAAGCAAGATGGGATTGGGAGGGAGATAAACCATAAGTGACTCTTAATCTCACAAAACAAACTGAGGGTTGCTGGGGGGAAAGGGGTTGGGGGGGTGGGGTTATTATGGACATTGGGGAGGGTATGTGCTATGGTGAGTGCTGTGAAGTGTGTAAACCTGGCGATTCACAGACCTGTACCCCTGGGGGGAAAATATATTATATGTTCATAAAAAATAAAATTTAAAAAAAAAAAGATCCTGTACTCAGGTCTTAGAGGATTACAAAGATTATGGATCTTGCTCTGGAAGAGCATGTAGTAAGAGATATAAGACAGAAAGCTAAACAATTATAAGAGATGTATAAAATGCCACAGCCTTTCAGAGAAGGGAGAGATTAGTTCAATTCTATGGATCAAGGAAGGCTTTCAGAGGAAAATGACCTTTGAGTTGAGCCATGAAAGTTGAGTCTATACACCTACAGAAATGGGATGATAGAAAAGGAAGAACATTCTATGTTATATCTCAGCACTCTTGTTTTCAAATGACAGAAACTCCAAGTAGCTTAAACAAGAATGAAAAAGTAGGAGGGCACTGTACTCATTTCTGTAACCAAAATCAGAATACACAAGACTGGAGTTATCTTCAGTGTTAAAAGCATACAAAGATTTTATCAGCATTACCCTTTTCTGTCTCTCCTTCCTCCATCCTGCCTCTTCTCCTTCTAAAAGACTCCTTCTTATAACAGGTGATATTACTGCCAATAACTTTGGCATCATATATCTTACTGCTCTCTATCCAAGAGTAGAGAGAGTTACCCCTCTGCTTCCAATTTAGAAATTTTGGAAAGGACTAGCCCAGCTTGGTGGTTATACCCTGCTGTAAGTTGGGAAGGGAAGTACTACTGTGTTTGCCAGCCGCACCAGAAATACATTGAATTGGGAGAAGAAGTTCTCTAAGGGTGCAGCTATCAGAAGAAGGTGGGAAGGAGTGCAGGGGAGACACAAAGCATGAAGCTCCATTTACACCTGCAGCATTAGCAAAGGCAAGAAGGCAGCAAGTTGTGCTGTGAATATGGCGAGAAGCAGGGCTTGAGACTTGTGTAAGGGAGCCAAGGCATTTGTGGTACAAAATTTGAGAGGTATTCTCAGATGTCAACCCTGAACTTGGTGGGGAGAGGGGGAGAGAGAGAGAGACGTTGAAACCTCCTTAAATCTTGTACCTTAAGCACCTTGTTTGCCTCAACCTAATCTTGGCCCTGTTAAGAAGGGATGTTCAACAGTGTTGAAGATAACAGGCTGAAGAGTTGAGTAGAGTGACCTTTGAGGGGACAGTTTTGATGGAACCATGCAAGTGAAAGTCAGACTGCGAGAGGTTAAGGAGTAACTATCTAGTGAAAAAATGGTGGCAGAGAATGTAGGCTACTGTCTCCTTATCATGAAGTTTGGTGGTAAAAGGAATGACAGAGAAGGAATTACAACTTAAGGGGGTAGCTGAGGGCTCAGCAAATTTGTTTTACTTCATTTTATTTTCAATATTGGTGCTATCTGTCCCAAGAAGCAGTCATTTACTTCCATGGAATGACTTGAAGGATTCCCGGCTCCCTTCCAACCAAAAATAATTTTATACTAGTTTACTAGTGGCGTCTGAATTGCTACCATTAGTGATTTGGGGTTATTGAATTAAAGGATTATCTCCTAGCAGTTAGTAAGTACCCCCCTAGGTCCCCATCTGTAGGTAATTCATTAAGCTTTTAGCAGCTATCTGTATGTCAATGTGAATTGGCTTATCTGATTTTTTGGAAACAACCAAGAATAGATTTTGATAAAGGGAGGGTAAAGAGCACTGAAGGGTTTTTGACAGTTTGGGATGTGGCACCTATAAGGAGGAAAGGTGAAGAATTCCCAAAAGGAAAAGGTGAGGTTCTAAGAGGTACTTCTCTTTCTCATAGCCCTACCCAAGGCCAGCTACACTCTAAAATTCTTTTCTTCCATCAATGAACCATTTTGTAAAACAGCTTTTGAGTAAAATCTTGTCAAAACTTTCTGGGGAAATACATTATGTCCTGGATGATAGAAAATGATACTAGACATGGAATCAGAAAACCTGTTCTCATCAAACACTTACTTGGCCTGCACAGAAGCAGAATTACCTTGAAGCAAGTGATACATAGGTTGCAAAATACCCATTTGCACAGATCCCTTCAAAGGCCCTGGGAAGGATCCTAGCAATATTTTCATATGATCATGCATTTTTGGAAAATTTGCAAAACAAGATAATTTAAGTATAATACACCACTGTCTCTATCCACTCCTATTTTCCCTTTGTCATATTTCCCCTAGTGCTGAGTGGCACTGGAGTAACCAGTCATTTTTGCTATCCAGTACCTAAAGGGAACTTGAGTTGGGGATACAGTTTGGGTTTAGTGGTATGTACTTTAATGGTTTATTGTCATTTCTGCGTATTGTTAGGTAATTACTAGCTCTTTTTTTTTTTTTATTTTTATTTGACAGATCACAAGTAGGCAGAGAGGCAGGCAGAGAGAGACAGGAAGAGGAGGCAGGCTCCCTGCTGAGCAGAGAGCCCGATGCGGGACTTGATCCCAGGACTCTTGAGATCATGACCCGAGCCGAAGGCAGAGGCTTTAACCACTGAGCCACCCAGGCGCCCCATTACTAGCTCTTTTGATGCAGGGATGTCTTGTAGACATATTCCTATTGCCTGTTGGGCTAATTTATGTGTCACAACATGAATATGTAAGGCCCTTGATTAAAATCTGGTTAATGAGTGCTGTCAATGCAAAGATTATTTAATACTGGCTGCTATTCAAGGAAACTTGAAACTTGAAATTCAAGGAAATCTTGAAATCTGTTCACATATGAAGAAACTTCACAGAGGCTTTCCCAAATTTGATACCAATCCAAAAAATTACATATGGCATTACCAATGAGTTATGAAATTGAAAGAAACTTTTCTAAACTATGAATAATAAAAATATTAAAAATGAACCCATACTAAAGGAAAGACAAAATTATCTTTCTATTCAAGATTGTACTGTAAAGCTGTGATATATAAAAGCAATCAATCAAAGAACATACAGAAAAAAATTGGGAAAAAACTATTCTAGAGGTATATATGACAATTAGTAAAATTATTTTGTTATTATTTGGATTTTGTGACATTTGTTGTATTTGCTGGTCTTTAAAATTTTGTAATTGTAATTTATTTGCTTATTTATTTTTTAAGAAAGATTTTATTTATTTGAGAGAGAGAGCATGAGCGAGAGAGCACAAGCAGGGGTGGGGCAAAGGCAGAAGAAGGCCCTTGATCCCAGGGGCTCGATCCCAGGACCCTGAGATCATGACCTGAGCCAAAGGCAGGCAGACATTTAACCAACTGAGCCATCCAGGTGTCCCTGTTATGATTTCTTATGCCCAATTTTGTACTCATAATTTTATACCTTTATCTTAAAGAGTATCCCCCCCACCAAATTAGCTAACCTTTAAGTCCTATAAAGTCTGGATTCTTCTCTGATCCTGTGGCTGAGCAAGTAATGCGAGCCCCTAGTTCTCTTATCTGGCAGGTAGGAACTATATCTGCTGACTCACCTCATGGGGTGCTTGTGAGGAAGAGAGATGGTGCAGCTCAAAGGCCCTCATTACTAGTTACGAAGAGCCATACAAATGTAAGTAGTAGGATCACTGCCTCTTCCTCAAAAAACAGGTCTTGCATTTTCCCTAAGAGGTTATCTTTTCAGTGATCATACTTACATCTCAGGTTATCCTGAATTGTAGGATGGGCTAAGATGCCTCTGGAGAACTTCATATAGATGACAAGCAGCCCCAGACAGAGTTAAAAGCCTAAGAAAGAATGGTGTTCTATTAGCACAAGTTCATCCATTACCACGCCTGGGAAACCAACACACTGGGTCCTCCCTGATAGGGGCAGTGAGCAGAGATGCTTCTAACAACAGCATTTAGCATTCAAATTCAATAATATTCCAAATATGTAGATGACCCCTATTAAAAGACAGTTTTTACGGGGAATTATATAGCTTATTTCTTTGGCCTAGCATTTAACCAGGAAAAACGGGATAAGGGAAGTTCCATTCACTGAACACTTAATATATGTAAGCATCTAATCTAGGTGCTGTACATATGTTATCCCAAATACAATATCCCTGGATATTACCAACAGATATAAAGGAAATTTTGCAGAAATAAAAGCTAAGGCTCAAAGAATAGAGTGACTTGCCCAAATCCACAGTAATTAGGGTATTTTAAGCAAGGTCTGTTTGATCCCACCCTTTCAGGTATTAGTCTATTGCTACATGCTGTTGCCAGTATAGTTTTTGTTTTCCTATTTGTTCCTCTTTTCTATTCTTATTGAGTCTGGCTCATACAGTCACACTTGCCTGCAAAAATAAGTTTGTAAATCAGATGTCTAGTGTATATGCATAGGTCTTTAGTTCAAATGCATACTCCATCATGAATTTATGGAAAGTCAGGAGTATATCCAATGCAATAAAATATGCCTTAAATGGTACTTAATTTGAATGGACAAATCTTTAATAGTAATTTTAAATGTCTGAAAATGTTTGAAATGCATAATAAACTAGTTTACCACTAACCATACTGCTCATGTATCAAATTAATATGCACAATCTAAAGTAAGATACTTGATTTCATGCTAAAGAATTCAGGGCCAATCTCTTCAGTCTGAAAACAAATAGTAAGTCAACATTCTCAGGTTGCAGATTGATAGTGTCAGGTTAAAATGACTTTCCAAGAGGCAGCTTTATATATATTTTATCAGAACTTAAAATTACACACAGTTCACTTGCTTCTGTCCATTAAATTTTAAAATTGAGATGAGTTTAGTAGCTAGTAGATTTTCACAGGGCTTTTGTGATTTAATATTTTAATGGAAAGGCTTGTTTTTCATCCCCTGATTTAGCCAAAGCATGGGTGGGATGCCAATCCAAGATTGTAAAATTGGACACCTTGAATATTTGTGATTTTTTGTTGTTGTTTATCTTTGAATTTGTAGGTCAAGACCAAAGTGAGGGAGGTAAGGCAGAAGGCAGAGAGAGAAAGAAAGGAAAGAAATATTTTGGAAGAGGAAACCTCTATCATTCTATAACAGACAAATATATTAGAAATTATATTTTATAGGGTTAAGAGAGTGTAATAGCTAGAATTTTTGAAACCTAAGGGGATGACTCTTATCTTACTGTTTGAAAAAAATGTGCATGTGAGAAGATAACTTTCATATTATGAACCCAAAGCCACAGAATTCTGAAAAACCGTATACTTAGAGGGAGTATCATCCCAGAGGACCTGACAAGTAGGCAAGAGCCGTTAAGCTGAAGTATTTAAGTGAACTTTGGGTCTAGCCTGTATTTGTCATCTTTGCCGTTCAAATGAACCCAGCACTAGCCGTACTCCCCAGCTAATTCGGGACAGGTTTCAAGGAAGATCCATTGTTTCGGTTTAAAAATATATATTGAGCACCTACTACTAGGTCAGGCTGTGAGCATAGAAAGATGAAAAAAATTCAGTATCTGCCCTTAAGGAGCTTATATTCTGGAAGGGCAGGGGTGTGTCAAACATTCAGACAAATGCACAACTATATGACAGTGTTTAAAACACACGTTAGATAAGGTACGGTGAGAGCACTAAACAGGAAGTCGAAATGTCTCTGTGGGGAGCCCACTGAACCAAGAAAGACCCTTTGGAAGTAGGACAGGTTTCCAGATGGACCGGCTAGCCGAGGAGGTAGGCGGCCCAATTCGCTCAGAGGAAGCGGAAACGGCGCGAGCAGAGGCACAGGCGTGAAACTGCTGGTTCTGCTCTGGGATCGCCCTCGCACTCCTTTGTCTCCAGACAACGGGAGACGACCAGTTCGATCCCTCACGGCAGGGCAGATCTGAAGAAGTTTGGGGATATAAATCTAGCCAACAGAGCTGCAAGGCATGACCTAGCCTGAGGAGATTTGTAGGAGCCGAAACGGGAGCCGCCAAGTTTCTGACAGACCGGGCTGGGCTCGGGTGGCGGGGGGGCCCTGCCTGAGCTTAACCGTGCTGCCGCGGGCCTTTGGTTCTCAGGGAGCTGTGCTCTGCGTCCCCGCCCCGACGGCTGACCCGCGAATCTGCGGGGCGCTCCAAGCCTTCCCGAGGCTGAGCGCCTGAGAAGCCGGCTCCCTGTATCGGGAGCCTCTCTGCCCTCCTCGGTCCCTGCTTGGGAAACTCGCGTGGCGCCGCCGAGAGCCCGCGGTGACAAATGCTGTTCTCTGGCCCCAGCGCACGACGGTGCTTACCTCGGCCTGACGAGCGGCCCTCGGCGCGCAGCCTCCCCCTACGCAAGCCCACCGCGCGCGGCACCAATCCGCGCAGGCCCAGACCCGCGCTGCGGCCTCCCGGCGCGCGTCGCACGGTCTGGCACGAGGCGCACGAACCACCATGCGGTCCGAGGCTACGGGCTAGCGGGCGCCTCGGTTTCTGCCAGGGCGCCGATCTGTTTATCCTCTCACCTTGGGCTCTTAACCCCTCGTCCCGCTTGGTTTTGAGAGGTTTCTCTGCTCGAGCTATTTGAGTCAGGCACTCTTAACAATAGGAGTGGCTCGCGGCCTACGCGTCTGAGAGCTTCCAGGGCGCTGGACGGAAAAGGTGGGTGTGTGGAGTTGTCACCTCACGGAGTCGCGATCCGAACCCTGGAGGAGGGACACACCTTCCCGGGTTCTCTGGGCCCACGATGGGCTTCTCCTAGGGAACAAGTTCGTCCCCAACCCCTCTCTCAGGGCTGCCTCCCTTAAGGGACCCACGCACCGGCCGTTCCTGCCGCCATTTCCTAGCAGGCCTCCAGGGGGCCTCCCGGCCGCGGCCTTCCTGTCGGCCGCTCCTGGCCCGGGGGCCGCCGCGCGGGAAGGGACGCGCCTCGGCGCCCGGGCCAGTGCGCGAACAATGACCCCTTTTCCCCTCGCCGCCGCCTCTTCCCCGACACCGCCCCCCTGACACCCCCAGGCAAACCTATTAGCCTTTCAGGCCGACAAAACCCCGCGGCCCCGCGCATTGTCCCGCGGAGCGCCCGGCCGCCGTCATTAGCCCTGATTACGCTGAGCCGCCTGACAGCCCTGCGGGCCGCTCGGCAGACCCCCCATTCACGGCCGCCCCCGGGCCCCGCCTCACAATAGGAGCGGAAATCGGCCGCGCTCCCGCGTCCCGGCTGAATAGAGCGAGAAGCTGCTTCTCTTCTCTTCCCGCCCCTTTCACGTTCTTTTTGGATACAATATTTTTTCCCTTTTTGTTAAAATTAGGGAGAGAGAACGAGGTCAAGGAAGATTTTGATTTGAGCTCTTTGCCTGTCATTTGTTTAATGTAAACAAAGAGCAAGTCCTCCCCCCGCCCCAGCCTCTCATCACCTCCCTCCCAGATTTTTATAAACAAACTGGAGAAGGGGTGGGAGGGGGGTGCGAGCGCGGCGGGTGGAAGCCGAGTGGGTCATTAAAGTGGAGGAGCGAGGAAATGCGGCATTTGGGGAGAGGGAGCCGTCGCGCTTTTGGTGTAACTGGCGGGTGGTTGAAATATTTATAACCGATAAAGAAGCCGAGCTGGGGCTGGTGATTAAATCCGCACATTGGTAAGATCCGTTGAATTGTTAAAATGCAGCTTCTTTCCACTGTGCCGGAATAACTGCTTTTTGGGAAATTGTTACAGGAAATAAACTTCAAGAGAAGACAGGAAGGAAACCCATCATAAGGAGATTTCTCCAAATTCGGAAACCTTCAGCATTGCTCCTACCTGGAATTAAAAACAAACAAAAAACCTTTCTAGAACAGAATAAAACTGATAAGGAAAAAAAAAATCTTAAAAAGGAAACGAAAACTTTTATGATACCTGCCCAAGGGAAGATTTGGACCAGTTAGCATAAATATCTGTGTGAAGATATGGACTGATTTCCCAACATGTGATCATCAAAGAATTGGTTATTCACAAGAGCAATTAGGCGCCACCAGGTTTCAGATAAACATTTTAAAAATTCTTTGAAATAATAAGTCATCCCCCCCTTAAGATTCTAAAATGAAATCAGATTAAACCTACAGATCGGTGAAACAGAATACCTACTTTATAATGTAATTCTTAGGCAACATGTTACTTTAAGCAAATTAGATGTACTTTAAAGGAAAATGTACTTTAAAGGCTTTCACCAAATCAGGAAGAAAATTCCTCCATAACTTCAGTCTTCTCTTTTTTTGCCAAGCCATAAGGGTTATTTAAAAACTATTTGTACAGGGGCTTCTGGGTAGGTTCCTGAATCCAGTGTCCTAGCATCAAGCCCCACAACCTCCGGCTCCTTGCTCAGCGAGGAGACAGCTTCTCCCCTGCCTGTCGGTCCCCGGGCTTGTGCTTGCTCTCTGTATCTCTCAATTGTTCTCTCTGTGTTAAATGGATAAATAAAACCCTAAAAAAATTATTTATGCAAGGAAACCTTAGTTCTTAGCAGTATAATCCTTTTTTCTTCAGAATGCAGAATGGACATTTTCTTCTGCTTTTAGGCATCATTTGAATTGGTTAGTGGGATGGGATTTTTAAGAATCCTAACTGCCATTACATCATTCTACTAACTTTTTCCCTTCCTCCTCGGACCTAGAAACATTAGCTTAAGAGATAAAATTTATCTTCTCCAAATGCTGGTTTGGACAGTTCCTTAGTACTAGGTGGATCCGGTTAAACAAGACTGGAAATCTCTTCGTTTTTTCTTGAAGTGCAATATTCCTTAGCAGATTCAGGACTAGGGTAAGGCAAGGGAAGCACCTACAGTGCAAAATTTAAGGAGACACTCATTTCCAGATGTCTTGCACTTATGTAGTTGCTGACCTTGAGAGTGAATGCCTCCATCAATTTTGTACTCTGGGTGCTTCCCTTGCCTCATTGGAGTCCTGGCCCTGCTCCTCAGCATTCAAGGAACTAGATGTGTGTGGGGGGTTGTTCAAGGAAACAAAGTAAGAGTCTTCAGGAAGCTCTCCCATCCTAGCCTTTCCAGACCCATGGAAGGGCATTTGCTTGCTTTCCTGAAGAACCCCAGCTTGATCACAAAGACATCCCCACTTCTTCCATCTAGAGCTCTTGTGCAAGAGAGTTTTGACTGTCAACAGTTCTCTGGATAAGGGCCCCAATTTATAAAGCCCAAATGAGCCAAATCTGTTTAAGTGATTTAGAAACTAAAAAATCAGCCCTTAGTCATATCCTGGGCTTCTCTCAGATATCTTGCCATTTGACTGCTTTTTGTCTTTCAAGACTTCACTTTTTCTTTTTCTTTTTTTTGGGGGGGTGGGGGGCCCACTGGCATTTCTACCCAAATAAGTTAACAGGGTTCTGAACCAAAGGAAACCTGGTAAGGACAGAGAGGTAAATTGAAAGGATCCTGTGTGTGTGTGTGTGTGTGTGTGTGTGTCAGGAGGAGCTCAAGGAGGGAAGTTCAGCTTAAGTGATTTAAAGATCAGTGTCAAATTTTATAATATACAACCCATTTCACTAGGAAAAAAAGCTTAGAGACTCAGGATAGCATTTACTTTTTTAGTGCAAGGACAGTGAGGTTTTTTTTTTGTTTGTTTGGTTTTTGGTGTGTGTGTGTGCGCCTGCATGTACCTACACACTTTGGGAGGACAAATTAAATCCCAAGAATGTTTGATAGTTTTAATTGAGGCCATTACAGAACAATGAGGCTCTAGATGACTTATTTCATGTTTAATACAGAGATCAGATTTTTAAAATGCCAGTCATTTCTCTGCAGCCTTCCATTTCACTTCAGCATGTCACATGATTACATCCTTTCCTTCATCTAAGTATCACTGTTGTGGAAAAATGTGTTTGATGAAAACCTGCTTCTGCATCAAGAAGATGTTAGTTTAGTTATTAAAACCTCTCCTATCTTTTGTCTTATTTTAATATGAGTTCAATCCTAAACATAGTATATACTCACTCTAACATGATCATGGGTGCCTATTGCTTTTGTATGGGAGGGGTCTTGAAAAGAGATGGAAAACTTTTCTAATTGCAGAACCTGTATCAGAATAGTCTTGCATTTTTATAAAATAGGACTCATGACTGAATCCCAGAGTTTGGCTTCTTAAATTGTTCCTGAAAGACACTGACAATTCATAAAAGTGAGTGTCAGGAGGACAGGCCATAGTAACCGGTGTTTGGGGATGTGTGGAGTTGTCTTATAGGGGATGCTCATGTTGCAAGTTTCTAGATTTAAACATATCACACATACACACATGTATATACATACATACAATTTTTTGAGCAGGTGGGTATGGATCTACCATGGGCCATTTAAAATATATAGCAGGAGACCTCAGAGGAAAGCAAAAGATAAGAGAAGACTCTCCTGAGACTATGCATAGGGGCCCCTGCTTACCTGGTGAAGAGTATCTTTTTTTGTTTTGTTTTGTTTTGTTTTGTTTTGTTTTTAAGGAATCTGAGAGCAGTTCACTTAATTAAGAAAGTTTGCTCACCAGGTTTTTATTGTTTGGCTTCTTCACACCGAACCCATCTGCTCCATCCTGCGCCTTTAGAAACAGCAAGTTCCCAGGATATAGAGAAACCTACCAGGCGGTCTCTTAAATAAGTAAATAAACAGCATATATATGTTTTGTTTTGTTTTGTTTTCTTAAAAAAAACCTTTAAAGCAAAAGTTATACATATATAACAGCGTCCTTTTGACGGTAAATACCCATGAAGATTTAGGACAGGCGCTCAGCGTTCAGTTCAGGTTCCGGAGGCATCTTTGCAGCAAAATTCTTGGGAAAAAGCAAAGCAAGGAGAACGTAGCGCTGGGTTGGGCCTCACCGCGGACCCCTGTGATAGCGGCCGGAGGGCGCCAGTGGAGCCAGGCCGGCCGCGGGGCGGAAATGGGCACCCGGAGCCCGCGGGTCCCTGGCCCCCCCCCCCCCCCCCCCCCCCCCGGTTTCGCAAGCTGTGGGTTTGCTTGGTCTCTCATCCTCCCTATTTCATTTTGTCTTGTTTTTACACTGGATTCTGTTTCTGAGAGTGCTGGGTGGGCAGTTCAGATGTCGCACTCGCTGTCGCTGGACGTGATGGAGATGGCCGATGTGGCCGCCTTGCTGGATAGGCTGGCGGCGGGGCTGGCGGCGGCACCGAGCACCTCAGGCGTGCCCTCTTCCTCAGCCCTTAGAGCCCGTCCGGAGCCCTGCGTCATGACCTGCTGCTGGAGTCTAGGAGAAGGAAAGGGATAGCAGTCACAGCGCGTAACATAGCCGCCCTTTGCCCCCCGGGTCTGCATCCCTTAAGCCCAGGGGCCAGCGGATCTCCCACAGGCCCCGGCAGTTAAAGCGGGGAAAGTGAGGCAACAGAGACCAGGGCCGGAGTCCGCCTCTCCAAGTAGCCCCGCAGTTGTCCCATCCTTCTTCTGAATCCTTTCTCGGCTCCCCATCCGAGACGCTGGGCTCAGGGTCACTCGCGATTGTTGGCCGCCTTTGGGAGATTTACAATACTGTCAAGATAAATGAGGTGTGGGTGACAACGACGTATCAAGCTCCTGGATAGGGAACCCCATTCCCAGCGTGCATCTGCTCCAGGCGCACGCTTGTGTCAGTGCCCTCGAGGCCGGGTCAGACCAAAGCTAAAACTAAAAAGGGCTGCCTGAGGATTGCTTTGAACGATTGGGCCTGGGGGATGAGGCGGGGTTTCTTGGCCAAAATGTTTGGCTAATTTAGATCCACACGCTGCGGAACGAAAAGCCTCAGCTGACTAGTTTGCTGTTTTGAGGCAGGGTTGTCCACGCGTGAAAAGATGAGAACGCGACTTCCATCCAGAAGTCCATGAGAGTCTTTGCAAAGCATTAGGAGAAAAATTTATCTGGGCTTTTAAAATGGCAATATCGGTAATAAGCCAGGCTTCACTTAATAATAGGAGCCTGGGCCCAGGCTGACAAGAATTAGCTTTGGGCCTTGGGGTCCCTAATTATTGCTGGGATTTAAATTTTATTATTTCTTTCCCCTACCCAATGCAGCCTTGGTTTGGCGACTGGAACTATCTGGTGGAGGGACCCCCCCCACCCCCACAGGCGCCGAGAATGAGAGGAAAAGATTACGGGGAACCAAGAACGGGGAAGGAAACCGTCCCCCTCCTCCCGGACCAGGATCCCAGAATACGGTGGGCTCATAACTGAAGACAGACTGAGCTCTCAAGTCCTGCGGATCCAAGTCGCCAGGCCCCGGGTAAGGGCGCCCGGGGTGCCTTCGCCTGCCCGATCCAGGGAAAGTGCAAGGCGCATAGGCCTCTAGGTACTGACCTGTTCTTGGCTGCAGCCGCCCGATCCCTTTGTCGGCGGTTTTTGAACCAGTTGCCCACCTGCGTAGGGGTCAGTCCGGTTGCCTGGGCGAGCTCACGCTTTTTGCTGGGGTTGGGGTATGGGTCCTGCAGGTACCATTCCCGTAGTAGATGCCGCGTGCGCTCCTTGAAACAGTGTGTCTTCTGTTCGCCATCCCAAATGGTGCGCGGCAGCGGGAACTTCTTCCTCACACGGTACTTGTCCACTGGCCCCAGGGGCCGTCCACGCAGCTTCTCAGCCTCCTGGTAATGCGCTTCGAGCCACAACGCCTGCAGCTTGGCGTGGGACTCCTTAGTGAACTTGTGGTTTTCCAGGATATGGTAGAGTTCCCGGTAATTACCACCGTGAAAGGCCACGATGGCTCTCGCGCGCAGCACCGATTCATTCTTGTTGAGGGCCTCGCAGGCCGCAGGGGCCACGGGCAGCGACCAGAGGAAGCGACCCAGGCGTTCTACGTCGCCGCTCTCCTCCAGAGTCTCGCATACCCCGGCCACTTGCTGGGGACTGAAATTCAAGATGGGCAGCTGGAACATCGAGGCAGCGCCGACTGCAATGGGGACGCTGAGCACGGAGTGGGACACGCAGCAGATGCCCGCGGGCCTGGCCGGGTGCTCCAGGCTCTCCTCCTTGAGGCGGCTTAGGGCAGCGGGGACGCACGGCCCCCGGCAGCTGCGGCGGCGCAAAGGATGCGAGCGAGCGAGCGGGAGGGATTGGAGGAGGTGCCGGCCCCGCAGCCCAGGTTCGGCTCTGCTCGGTTAGGGCACGCAGGCCGGCGAACTGGCGCCGCTACTGGAAAGGGCGGATTGGCGGCGCGGGCGCCATGGAGACCCCCTGTCAGTCACCGGCCCGCTCTGCCAATCAAGACTGCGACCAGTGCGCCCGGGTCCTTTCAGCACCTCCCCGCTCTCGACAGCGCCCGCCGTTCACCCGTGGACTTTTCCTCAGTATTTTGCAGAATCTGGAAGAGGAAAAGACTGGAGAGTGGCTCGGAGAAAAAGAAAGGCAAGAACAGCAGCGTTTCAACACCCTCCTCCAGCGGCCTTCCTCCACCCCCGAGCCCCCCAAACCCCCCACCCTCAGCCAAAAGAGGCAGTAGTGCTACAGGAATCCACTTTGGAGTGATGCGCTGCCTGGGTCAAGAGGTCTCCAGAGGACAATGAGGACTGGGCCAAATCGAAATCCTCGGAGAATTCGCCAAGTTTAATTGGAACGAAACAGAAAACTTTGGGGGGAGCGCGTGAATGGGAAGGGAGGGAAATAGATCACCTAATTTTATCCCTCAGCACCCATCCCCGCAAGGTTTTCCCTCTTTTCTAGCTGCCAAAGCAGCCGAGTGGGAAGTGAATCTGAAGCAGAAGTAACAGGACCAGGGATCTGTTAAGAGGTCAGTTTGGGCTATCCCCAACACCTTCAAAAGCCTCCTGAAAATTTAAATACGGGCTAGAACAAATCTCACACCTGATAACACAGGTGTTGACCCTGAAGTTAAACACTCAAGAATAGGGGTGTTGTACTCCCCAAAAGTTTATATTTTTCAACCCCCCTCCCCACGTTAACGGACTTGAACAAATGTGCAGCACAGCCACATCTAGAGTAAGAAGTCACTGGTAGGTCAGGACAGCAACTTAAAAGCTTATTTCAAAGATCTATTTTAAAATATTGATTTGCTCTTTTTGCAGGGTGATTTTGCCTTACCCTGTGTTAGAACATGTAACTCTTGTGCTGGGAGTAGAAACTCTAACCTTGGCCTTTTTGTCTGAAAGAAACTCAATGCAAGTAAAATAGAGAAAGGGGAACCACAGCAATGGGAAGGGGGGCAGAAAATGCTTTCTAAGCCGCTGAGCACTGACCCCTCCTGCAGAGAGGAAGGGCCTTCTTGGCAGCTCTGCCTTAGGGCCAGCAGACTGAATTGGCAACTTTTATTGATTCCCAATTGACATCCACATCATACCATTTTCTGAGGTCTCTGTCAAAAGAAACCATGATCTCACCTGGGTCTTTGATAGGGGTTTGTTCAGTTTGAAGAAAATAATTGGGAAAGGGGAGTCCAATGAAAATGACTGGAAAACCATCTTTGGAGACCTATCCCTAAAGAAATCAGATAGAAATGTTAACCCCCCAACTGGACTGGGCTGGCCCTCTTTTCTTTAGTATCAAGTACAATTTGTATGCGGCTTGTACAGCTCTGGTAAATCAGAAGGCAGATAGATAGCACAGATGGTTGGAGGTGTCGGGTCAGATTATGCTATGCCTGAGTGCAGGGCAAAGCTCTTTCTGACAGAAAACCCTGATATTATTTTCACAGATCTTCACAGTTCAGGAAAAAAAAAAAAAGAAAGAAAAAAAAGCTGAGGTTGGCTAGGGGAAAAGAGGGAGCCCTGCAACCATTAATATCATTTCTGTGAGATTGCCAGCCACCTCCACGGAGAGGCTTTCTTTTTTAAGGGCTCTGGTTTGTTTGGTTGGTTTTTGTTTTTGTTTTTGTTTGAAATTTGACAAGGCAGGGGCAAATAGGGTAGTGAAGATAATGTCAAAGCACAAATCTTCTCTAGTTTGGGGAGATTTCAGAATTCGCTGGAGGAACAACTTTAGTGAGGAACGTCGCGCACAAAGTGCCCCCTAAAAACGCAGTGTAGAAAACCCAGCGGCCATGGGGATCCGGCAGCGGTGAAGCAGAACCTGGGAAGGCTGTGTTCCCAGCACCTCTGGCCCGGAAAGGAAAGCATCCCCTTGCTCAGGATATCTCTCCTGCCTGCACCCCGTAGCAGAATGGTCTCACGTTATCCTTCTGCGTGGAAGAAGCTGCAAGTCTGGGAGAACCTACAGCCCCAGAGCCCAGAGAGAACCCCAACACTTGCACCTAGCCACTGGAGGTGAGAAGTTTCGGTGCCTCACGGGGACTGCGCATCTCCACCCTTTTGCTAAACAATTTGAAAGCTGCGAATTCCGGGAAAGCTGGCTACTTGCCCTTAGTTTTTGTGAGCAAAGTCGTGTTAATTTTCCAGTCTATGTGCACTATCCAGGAAATGGGAATATCCTATTTCTTGAATAATAGTTCTACAAATATTAGAGGAGAGGCACTTTGGCTTCTGAGTGTTTGGGGCTCTCAGGCAGCTGGAACCAAAATCCTGGCTTGGCTTCGCCTGGGGCCTGGAGCGTAGGAAAAGGGGCACTGGTTAGGGTCGTTAGAGTCCCAGTTCTGCCGGACGCTGTGTCTGGACACCATGCGTATGAAGGTCTGAGAAGTGTCTAGAGGCCTCGGTCTATGATCAGGAGATCCTATCCTATCACAGCGGACTGGTTTAATTTTATTAACTCAAAGGAAATAAACCACCCTTCGGAAACTTAGGATCACATGTTCATTCATCACTTTCACAAACAGAAGAAATGCATGCCCACCCTTGTCCCGTCTCCCCACCCCCCGTCCCTGGAAATGGGAGACGCTCCACTGGGTTCCTTAGGAAAAAAACCCATTGTGGACAAGGCGGTGACCCCCACCCCACCCTTAAAGCTCCAGATGATTGTTGGACTTTCGGGTTGACTTTTCTTAATTTTATGGAAGGATAGATTTTTACTAGTTTCGAAACTTTGCATCAACTACCTGCTTGCTACCCCCAACTTTATTTTTCTTTTGCGTTTTACCAGGAAATCTAGAAAGCTTAGTGGCAGCTCTTAGCCTGATTTTCAGTTTTCTGTGGTTGGTCTGCAGCTAGTAGATTTGGGAAGCCTTGGGCGGGCAAATGCTTGATTCTCGCTAGGAATCCAAAGACGTCTATTCTGTTCTCTGCAGACTCAATTTTACTTTAGCGGGAAAAATATGGAGAAAAAAGCTTTTAGAAGACAAAGTCCCTGGGCAAATTGTGTTTAATTATTCAGTGAGGCTGCAGCAGAGCAAAGTGCCCCTCTAGCCCTGCAGAAAGTTTTGAGGTTCCTACAAGAAATGTTCAGAGTGGGACTTTTTGAGCTTATCAGTGTCGCTCCCTCATTTTGCCCTCTCTGATTCTCCTCTAGAGTAGAGGGACATGTGGATCCCCGCTTACACCTTGCTGAATGATTTGCCAGTGGAGAGTGCTCCTTAGGGGTCAATACAATCTTACCTCAAGATTTCATTCTCTTGTTTTGTTTTGTCTCTTGTCTTTGACTTTTCCTAAATCAGATACCTGTAAAATAAATGATATATTTTTGTTTTCTTTCCTACATAATTTCACAGTTAGGGATTTTTTTAATGTGGTAATTGAGTGCATCTGAATTCCTTGATGAAGACATATGTGCTGCATGTGAGACTCATAGACTGGAAGACAATGAGGTCCTAGCCTTTTGTGTAAGTCCATTTTGACATTTGGGGAGAGATCCTGGTTTTCCTTTCTTGGGCCTCAAAGCTGTGTGTTGCTGGTGGGTGAGAATAACATAAAAAAAAATCTAGAAATCTTAAAAAAGTGTTTTACTGTCTTTGAATTTACAGTATTAAAAATTTACACTCTCAAACATTTATTCATTTTTAGTATTCTGACTTTCAGATGATACCATATGCATAAATAAAGATATATGTTTGTTTATGTATTTGGTAGTCCAAATCTTTAGGTTAGGGAATTAATTCAATATCCTAGTTTTTAAGTGCTGACCGTCCTAATTAGTTACGAAGGTAGATGGTTCTAGTTCATGCATTCTTTTCCTGCCATTATGCACCTTGTAACAAAGAATGGAGATGGCTCTTTATTGTGCATTCCTGAGAGCAAGCACGATTTGAGAAATATTTTGTAGATTTCCTGACATTGTAAAATTAACTGGGAAAAAGTATTACAATTAAAATATTGATCTAATTTTAAGCGATTAGAATATTTTTGCTGTTATTAGCACAATTATTTACCAGTTATTTTTAAAATGATGCAAAATTGCTTATGTTGTTAAGTGGAGAAAATTTGTATAAGCTTAAATGTGGGAAAATGTACCATTTGAAAGTAATGATGAACTAGCAGTAATTTTTTTTTTTAATGTTAGTCTATCTATACAACTCTGTTTGGACCTCTAGCTTATTGTTAATCCTAGGCTTTGAATGAGAATTTGTATTTAAACCAAAGAGTATATTACAAGTCATACTTGTTTTTAAATCTATAGTCTTAAATTCACTTTTCTCTCTTTCTTCTGCTTCTGTAGCATAAGTCTGAATCTGCATGGGGCTAACTATACCACAGCATAGCTTGCTTAGGGCTATGTATCAGTGGGTTCTTGTATGAAGGGTTAATGCTTAAAAATGTAACTAGTGTATCATTTATAAACACTTTATTATCAGTAATGGAACACTAGTTTAATGACTGAAAGAATGATTAATTCGTAGTTCTCTACTGGAACTTTATTTTTTTCCACCAGCAGATTATTTTTGGCCATTTTCAAATCCAAGATCAAAGCATCTTTCTAAAATATACATAGAAATGTTAAAATTTAAAGAAGTGAAAGAATATAAGTTTGTTTATGCCCTTTGCGGTGAGCCAAAGAGTATTCATGTTAAATTATATGTGTGGCACATATATGTATTAATTACATGTATTATATGAGTAAATAATTTCCTTCCAATACTGTAAAATCAAATAGAGGTATTAGC